AGAAGCAGTGGACGCGTTTGCCGATGGGCTTGTGTAACAGTGTCGCGACATTTCAGCGAGTGATGGACAAGACGCTGGCACCCGTGCTGTGGAAGAGCACATTCGTGTATGTAGACGACATTGTCATCTTCTCGCGTACCTTCGAGGAGCATTGCAAGCACATCCTCGAGACATTTCGTTTGTTTCAAGCAGCCAATGTCAAAGTGAAGCCGAGCAAATGCACGTTCTTCGCCAGAATCATATCAATTCTCGGCTTCCTCGTCTCTGAGCACGGCTGCAAGCTGATCCGAAGAAGATTGAAAAGATGGTCCACATGGCTGAGCCGACAGACAAGAAGGAAGTGAGGAGCATCCTAGGTGTTTTCCAGTTCTACAAACGATTTGTAGATGGCTATGCCGACTTGGCGAGGCCGCTCACTGACCTGACAAAGAAGAGCAATCCATTCGTGTGGGGAGAAAAGGAGAGAAAGGCATTCCAAACACTGAAGGACAGGATGATCCAGGCACCTGTGTTGGCCTTGCCTGATTTCAACAAGCCATTCATTCTCAAGACGGACGCGAGCGGCTATGCGGTTGGCGGATTCTCTGTCAGCGAGACTGCAACGGCAAAGAGAGACCGATCCACTATGCAAGTGCGATTCTCGGTGTCTCTGAGCGGAAGTGGTCAGCAACAGAAAGGGAGGCGCACGCCATCTACTATGCCGTTCGTCATTTCCGCCCGTACCTGTTTGGACATCGATTTGAGCTGGATTCGCAGAGGAGGGCAACCGGAAGCTACAACGATGGTCGCTGATGTTGCAGGACTACGATTTTATCTTCCGTCATCGACCTGGGAAGGAGCACACAGACGTTGACGCACTCTCGAGACCTCCTGGACAAGAAAACATGGGAGACATCCCTGCTTCGGTCGATGTGCATGAGTATCAACTCGGGGCAATTGACCTTGAGGCCATAGACGATTGCCCCCTGTTCCATCTTGACCAGACCATGGAGGCCCAGGACCAGTGTGCTGACGTCTCACGCGTGAAGGCGTACCTGGAGGCCAAAGACAACAACACAAGCAAAGGAGAGCTCGATCAGCTGCGTGACGCCATTCCGAAATCATATTGGTCGAAGCTTGACGATGCTTGCCTACTTGATGGGCTGGTGAGAGTCGTGTCGAAGCACCAAGAGCATGGACCAGTATTGCTGGTCCCCACGTCACTGCGATTAGAGGCCATGAAGCTGCACCATCAACACCTTTTGGCTGGCCATCTGGCAATTGAGAGGGCTTACAAGCGCATGGCGCGAGACCTACTGGCCAGGGATGTATGGCGACCTCCGCAAGCATATCGACGCTTGTCCGGCTTGCGAGAGCAAACGAAACCTGAGGACAAACAAGAGAGCGAGCATACAGATACCGCCAGCTGAGAGACCATTCCAGAGGGTCGCAATGGACTTCATCGGTCCGTTTCAACCTTCAGAAGATGGCAATCAGTGGGCGCTCACCATTCAGGATGACTTCACGAAATGGCCAGAGGTTGAGCTTTTCCGCAGTGCACCGACCGGTGAAGACACGGTTAAGGCAATCATCAGGGTCATCGCGAGACACGGAGTTCCGGAAGAGATCATCACCGACAATGGGGGCCACTTCGTCAACCAATTGATGCATGAGGTGACGACTAGGCTGCGGATCAAACATACTCGGGCTTCACCGCTGCATCCACAAGGCAATGGGATGATTGAGCGTTTCAATCGCTCTCTGAAGGATGGCATTCGTCCGTACTTGGACAAGAAGCAGACGAACTGGGA